TTTTTGAATAATTTTTTACAAAAAATGTAACTGCTGTAACTAATGTAAAGGCCAATACTAAATTAATAATAATTTTGGCAAAAAAAATCTGTTTAATATTCAGAATCCAATTCTTGGACTATTCGATTAGTAAAATCGGTCCATGAGTCCATGGGATATATGATCAAAATTCAAAAAAAAAGAAATATAGAACAATGTTTAACTCGTTCAACACGTTTGGTGCTGGAACTTTATTGACAGCAGCAAAAAAGTGAGTGTTTCTTAATATTTACAAAAAGAATCAAAAAGTCATAATCCTAATGAACATATTATTACAAAATTTTGTGAATATTCGCATGTTTTACAACGAAAACTAGTAAATAAAGAAATTGACAAAGTAATTTCCATTCCCTTAATGTTGCTTAAATTCGTTGTTAATTTTTATAAGTCCTGATAACATTAATTTGACATGTAAAATACATGTTAAACATGCACATGAAATATTTAACAGAAAATGACAAAAATTTAAAGACAAGAAACCCGCACAAAAAGCGCGTGCCAAGTGTCTTTGCAGGCAGGCAACTGGCAAATAACGGAAAGCAAACAGTTTGACAATTTATTTTATGTCCGTCTGGCTACATGTATGCCAAGTGCAGCAATTCAGTAAATTAGCTGCACTTTGATCGAGTTGATGATGAGACTTGATGATGGTTGATGGTTGAAATTAATGAGAGCAACACCTATAATTATAATTCCATTATGAAAGCGGACACATTTGAGAAAAATTCAGCACAATCTGCAATCGCATACGATAACCAAAAGAAAGGAAGAATTGCCTTAAAGGAATCAACAGGACAACAAATATTCTTCTAGAGGACCGTATAAAAGAGTGTGTGTGTGCAAAAGGTGCATTAAGGATACTGGTGAAAATAAACCACAATAAAATGTGAATGTAAGAATGCAAAAGGACAAAAAGAATAAAAAAACAGTGTACTCGACAATAATTGCCAGGAGTTAGAGGGAAGGGGCGTTTTTAAAGGACCGGTGTTTTGGTTTTTCGATTGATAGTCAAAAAATAATGATTGGCACTTGTCCAAAAAATACCCAAAAAACCTATACAAACATTTCTCTTTGTTTTTGGCGCGGGCGATTCGAATTTTTCTTATAAACAATGCGGGTAATACGTTTATATTTTTCTTTTTTTTTGTGGAAGTGCAGGTGATTTTTTACGAATCATTGAAGAAAAATTGCGTTAAAATTATTTCCGTTAATAGTCATTTGTTTGCTTTAATAGAAGTTGTGTGTTTGTGAAGTGCTATTAAAATTACACTTGTTAAAAAATTTGTAAAGTGTGTCCTCATTAGCGATAAACTGCCCAGCATTGGCTCAATGCAGTTAAGAAATTGTCTTTATGCTTAAATTTGGATTTTGATGAATGATTATTATAGATTGAATGCTTTTGAATGAAGATGGTCCTATTAAATATTGTTATTTTTAAATTTGTTATGCCTATACAAACTGCGGTTATTTATTGAGTATTGCATTTCAGGTGACGACATGTATGTATCTATGCACAAGACATCAGAACAAAATGTAAAATATATATCCTATATCGTATATTTTTTATTTTTCCATCCCTGATTTTGTCAATAACAACGGTAACGGTAACAAGGTAACGGTAACAATATACAGTTTACGTTACATTACGTGTTGTCCTTGCCCTGTTTAGTTTTTATGAACAAGCTGTATGTGTTATTATTTTCTTGTTCTTGCAAAATTTCTCATATCTCCGTTTTATTTATGAACCGATTTTATTGTTTTTAAATGAAATTATTGTCTGACAGAATTATTGAAGGTTTGGATCCCGAAGATATCTGGAGTCTTTAGAAAACTGATTTCAACATTATTTTGACAACTCTTATATAATTAACTTGTTTGAAAGTTTTGCAGCATATTATTTACTTCTGATGAAAACAGAGGAAATAGTAAAATTCGTCAGGATATTCACTATTTTAATTAGTTTTTTGGTGTATTAAGGACCTTTATTTGTTAGCACATTCAATTTATAAGAACTATTGGTGTTGGTTTGATATTTTTTTCTTATGGCCAAAGATTATTTTAATAGCTTTAATTATTTTTCAACATTACTTATTTTTTCATATTTTGACCAAAAGTTCGAATTTTCGAAATTCTAAAATAAAATCTTTTGAACTTATTTCGGATATTCGAATAGAATCCTGTAGTCTAAGGATTAACCTGTATTTAACCTGCCAAAAGTCAATTTCGAAATGCTCCCCTATATATTGTGTTTATGGATCGATCCTTTTTTTCGGCATGAGACACCGTTTAATATGGAGTTTATCTGCAATATCGATATGTAGCCCTTTACGCCTTACAAATGTTGTAAAGTTTCAGGAATTTATACATAGATCGATGCTTTCGTCATTTATTTTATTATCATATCACTCATTTACTAAAAGACTAGAATAATCTAATCGTTTTTTAATTGAGTAAAACAAAATAAACCCCTTTTAAAGTTTTTTGTCTAACTTTAACTGTTTTATTACCTCAAAAATTTTTATTATATTTGGCGCAAGTGTAATTGTACCCTACAACCCTTTTGTGGGCAGTTCTGTCTCCAATAACTTGGTAAATTATTTCGTATTTCATGTGAAATTCCATACAAATAGTTTATATTATTATAAGGAATAACTCACTGTTCTAAATACAATTATAACCATAATGCTTTAATTATATTTTTCAGAACATTCAAAATAAGTTTTATAATACATACAGCTGCTAAGTTAAACTAAAACTCAAAGAATTTTCATTGAATACATATTGTTATATATAATTATCGTCATTTGTAGCAACTTTTAAGTGCCTTAAAATCTAAAGAAAAATCATTAGATTTCCCTCTAATAGCTAAATCATATTTTTTCCCGTAAAATGAGATTTAAAATCGCTAGATTGGACAAGAAAATGGCAAAAGTGGCAACAGTGTCTGCCACTGTCACGAGAGGAAAATTAGTCTAGACAAACACTACAATGGTAAAAATACTGCATTATCGACCATCTTCGAATGGAATTTAGTGTGGACAAAATCCAATCATATTATAAACACCCTTTCCATAATTTTCTTCCGTATTCTATTACGTTTTTCTACAAAGTGTGTTTTGTTAAGTGTTGCCAATATTTTGCTTTCATTTCCCATTAAAATATGTCACAAAAACCGCTAGAAAAGGTCAAAATTAAGTTTTTGTAAAAATCGCTCGAAAATGCCAAATATTAATCAACAGCTGGAAAAATTTTAACTTACCAAATAAATACATTTTATAAAAAAAAATTAAGAATATTAAATCTCGACTATAGACTAGGCTGGACTATAGACTATAACAAAGACTAGACTATAGGCTGGACTACAGACTATTACAAAGACTAGATCAAAGACCAGACAAAAGACTAGACAAAAGACTAGATAAAAGACTAGACCAAAGACGAGAACAAAGACTAGACCAAAGGCCTAGACCCAAAAACTAGATCAAAGACTACACCAAAGACTAGACCATGGACTATATAGACCATAGTCTAATATATAGTCTAGTCTATAGTCTAGTCTATAGTCTAGTCTATAGTCTAGTCTATAGTCTAGTCTATAGTCTAGTCTATAGTCTAGTCTATAGTCTAGTCTATAGTCTAGTCTATAGTCTAGTCTATAGTCTAGTCTATAGTCTAGTCTATAGTCTAGTCTATAGTCTAGTCTATAGTCTAGTCTATAGTCTAGTCTATAGTCTAGTCTATAGTCTAGTCTCTATAGTCTAGTCTATAGTCCTAGTCTATAGTCTAGTCTATAGTCTAGTCTATAGTCTAGTCTATAGTCTAGTCTATAGTCTAGTCTATAGTCTAGTCTATAGTCTAGTCTATAGTCTAGTCTATAGTCTAGTCTATAGTCTAGTCTATAGTCTAGTCTATAGTCTAGTCTATAGTCTAGTCTATAGTCTAGTCTATAGTCTAGTCTATAGTCTAGTCTATAGTCTAGTCTATAGTCTAGTCTATAGTCTAGTCTATAGTCTAGTCCTATAGTCTAGTCTATAGTCTAGTCTATAGTCTAGTCTATAGTCTAGTCTATAGTCCTAGTCTATAGTCTAGTCCTATAGTCTAGTCTATAGTCTAGTCATAGTCTAGTCTATAGTCTAGTCTATAGTCTAGTCTATAGTCTAGTCTTATAGTCTAGTCTATAGTCTAGTCTATAGTCTAGTTCTATAGTCTAGTCCTATAGTCTAGTAGTCGAGTCTATAGTCTAGTCTATAGTCTAGTCTATAGTCTAGTCTATAGTCTAGTCTATAGTCTAGTCTATAGTCTAGTCTATAGTCTAGTCTATAGTCTAGTCTATAGTCTAGTCTATAGTCTAGTCTATAGTCTAGTCTATAGTCTAGTCTATAGTCTAGTCTATAGTCTAGTCTATAGTCTAGTCTATAGTCTAGTCTATAGTCTAGTCTATAGTCTAGTCTAGTCTAGTCTAGTCTATAGTCTATAGTCTAGTCTAGTCTATAGTCTAGTCTATATTCTAGTCTATAGTCTAGTCTGTAGTCTAGTCGACTTTGCGATTTGAAAACATTTGCCCTAAGATAGAATTTTACATACAAAATAGGCGTTTTTGGGATGCACACGGTCCCCTCAAATTTCGAAATATTTTTTCATTTAAGTTATTTTGTGTAAAGGTAGCTTTCAAAATAATAAATACGAGGTGCCCTGCTTTTCGCACCCCTCATTACTCCTATGGTATGTTCAAAACTTAATCTCAACAACACTTCCTCTTTACGCATGTAAATTGGAAACTGACAAACAGTTCCCTCTTTTTTATTTCTATACCACTATGCGTTCCATTTCAAAAAAATAGTTTTCTCATGTTCAGTACATTAATACGCATCGATTGGAAGGTATTACTGTTTGTGATCACCAATTTGTAAATTTAAAGAAATAATAAGAATCGATTTAAGTTTTTATTATTTTTTATTTTTATGTAAATATTGTTTTTGTAAAATTAATATACATACATATCTCGTTTAAATGATACTTAAAACATTTAATTTTTTATTTTCCCAATAATATTTAAAATGATTAAAATAATAGTTTTATGGACAATCTAAATATGTACAACATTCGTAGAGACATACATACATACATTCGTTTATTCATAATTACAAATAATTTACTTTCATTGTGTATACAACATTAGGTAATTACATAATGTACATTGTACATACTACATCAATGATATTTGCTTGATCAAAATCATAAGGAATAATAAAATTATTCACAATACTCGATTAAATTAATTTGATTTAATAAACAACAAAATGTTTAAAAATGCAACTCAATATACTCGACATTGTGAAAACACTACACTATTTTATTATAACATTTATGAATACATATTTAGTGTTAGTATAAGTATGTACAAAATTTGTCTAAACTATTGCATTTTTTTTTTGGAAAAAAATTTCGCATATAATAATTATTAATATTTATTATAAGAAATGTCGATCGAAAAAAGGTTAATATAGATATTGATCATTACAATAGTTAAATAATGTTGGTGCCAAAATTATCTAGCATTATTGACTGACAATTTTCAAGGAAATATTTAAATCATTCATTACAAGAAATGGCACTCACGCTAATAATTTATTTGTTGTATGTGTGTAGGATTGTAAAAATAATATCTTAAATAAATTATAACTAAGTTTTTAAATGAATAACTAAATTTTCTTATTTATTATTAGGTTTAGTTTGTTTTGCAATCGATTTCATTTGTATGAAAATAAAATTAAATGAGACGTCTTATTTCTACAGATTATCACAGTTCGATAGTAAATGTATTAAATATTAATATTCCTAATCATCTAAATATTTTATAAAAAATACATACATACATATGTACATTTATGTAAATGCATACATACATGCATACATACATATGTATAAACTATTTTTGTTTTAATTTACATTTTGATCATTGACAGTTTATTGTTAACTTGTTATAAGAGAGTGTCTAATGTATTAGTAAATAATGTAATCAGTTTACTTTTTTAATTATCGTTTAGTTTGTCGTTTTTATAACTATACATCGTAAAAGATATCCACATTCTACCATTCTTTTGTTTTATGTAAATTTTGAAGTTTTGTTAATATGTGGAACACTATTAGCGGAAATACACTAAATACGTCCAAATATTCCGTAATTATTATTTACAAATTTCGCTTTTGATTTGTTTGTTTCATTGCAATAACAATAAGTACTTATTTAATAGTAAGAAAAATAATTTTATATGCGATAAATAAAACTAAATATATATAATTTAATAAATACAATACTTAATATACTAATTTACATTTATATGCAGGCACTTTTAAGGCGTTTAATTTTTGTTGTTTTTCTCGGTATCGAAATGAATTTCCGATCAGTTCTTATTTCATCAGGCGGGACACAAACAATTGTTTAGTTTCAAATTGTTTGTTGGGTTATTTAGTTTTATATCTAAAAATTTGTTCTATTTACAATTACTGTAGGATATGTATATACATACACATAGATTTAAGATATTAAAAGGCACGTTTTCTTTTTAACCGTTGTCGGGCAAGAATTGGTTAAATGTTCTACTATATTTAGGATTCGAGGGCAGTGGTGGTGTTATCAAAGCCCAGATTCAATATCATACCCTTGTTTCATTTCGGTGCAGAGGTTGCAATTCTCGTTGCGTGTCGTTGTAGTACTCATGATCAGAGCTAGTGGGTTCTGAAGGTGTTACAGGCATATCAAGCATTGTGGTTACTCCGTTGGGTGGCCTCGATACCATTACGGGTATTCCGAGTGTTTGTGTTGGTATGGGAGCCTCTTGGGGATTTTGGTTGGCAGTTGGGTTGAGCAAATACTCGGGATTATCGACACTGACTGGTACACCAATTAGATCCATATAACCTCCCGGCGCTGAAGACATGGCATTGCTCGTTGTTATATTGTTGTTATTATTATTAAGTTGGCTTTGTGAGGGCAATTGGCAGGTGGGCATAAGATAGTCGTCTTCGTCGACTGGAAGATCTAAACGCAAGTCGCCTATTCCGACTTCTCGGGCATTCGAATCGGTTTCATCACTTTCGTTGGAAGAATTCTTATTCATTGGATCCTTGCAGTACCGATTTAGTTTGGGAATATCTTCTGAGCCATCGTGATTGTGGGGACCGGGTGCTGATTTAGGTTGCAAATAATCATCGGCCTCATTTATTGGCTCTGGTCCATCAAACGTGGGCGCTAACTTACGAATCAAATCCTTCTCATCTTGGCTGGTGTAGGAAGGTAGTCTAGTAAACTTGTCTCCGGGAATGGCCAAATAGCGACCGGGATCACGAGCAAATTCGGCAAATACATTAACCAACTGCTTAAACGAAGGTCTCATTTCAGCGTCTAAATGCCAACAAGATAATAGAGTACAATAAATGTCTAAGGAACATATTTCTGGCTGTTCTAATTTCAAGCCAACTTCAATAAGATCGGGTATGTCTTTGGCTGGTATATTCTCATGAGGTCTTTGACCAAATGTAAGCAATTCCCATATGGTCACACCAAATGCCCATACATCCGATTTACTTGTGAAAACACGATGACGTATGCATTCCAATGCCAGCCACTTTATTGGCATTTTGCCACCAGCTGCCTTATACTCATTTGAGTCATTGTTTAAGAGTTTTGCCAAACCGAAATCGGTAATTTTCACACATGAAGGAGTTTGGACTAGTACATTTCTTGCTGCTAAATCGCGATGAACTAAACGCTTTTCTTCCAAATATGACATACCTTTGGCAATTTGGGTCGACCAGTTAAGCAGAGCCTTTGAACCAATCTTATCTCTATTGTTGCGAACATAATCCAAGAGGCAACCTAAAGGCATCAGTTGCGTTATTAACATCATTTGTGAAGTCATGCATACAGCCAATAGTTTTAATAAATTTGGATGTTCCACTGAAGCCATAATATATGCTTCTCGCAGAAATTCTTCACTTGATTCTGCCCCTGTTGATTTCAAAAGCTCTTTGATGGCTACAGGAATTTTAACATTCTCTCCTTCTGGAACCCAGACACCTTTGTAGACGCGACCAAATGCTCCCATACCCAAAACCCCACCTTTACGTAGTTCGGCCTCTTTTACGATGCGTAATTTAGACAAATTAGCACCTATATTGGAAGGTCTTAATGGTTCAGAATCCTCACAACCTGATAAAACCATGGTCATTTTAACAGCTTCCTTTTTGGCCTTGGCTTTTTGACGACAAACGTAGGTGACTACACTTAATATGCCCAAGACCAATACTAAAGTAACCAATGCTATAATCAGAAATATGTAGTTATCAACGGCTGCCACCAGCTTGGAGCCCTTCAGAGGAACTGATGAACAATATGTTCCCAAATGTGGAGCTTGATAAATTACGTGTGAATACTCCGGTGGACACTTTGAAGTGCAATTAAATATAGTTGCATTGTCATAAGGATCTCCTTCACCAAAAAGTTTGAAACTACGACACGCCAAACAATCATCTGATCCAGGACCAGTGCATCCTTTGCACTCTTGATTGCACATGAAACACTCACGATTCGCCTCGTCCGCATAATGATCTGATGGACATTCATCTTCGCACTGTTCTCCCCTTTTATAGCCGGCACATTTTTGACAAACCTGTTCATGGAAACCATAACCACTACACAGCTCACAACGTGGGTGGCACTTACGACAGATGGCTTTTCCAGCTAATGGTTTGAGTTGACCTTGCTCTCTTGGATTCACGTACTCCCAGTAATAACCATCTGGGCATTTATCGTTTTTCTGTAGACATCTTTCAATATTTCCGTCTGAACTGATTATCGCCAGGGGGCAAGTCTTACAACCACCAGGACCAATGGTGTCAAGAGGTCCAGTACAACCTTCACAAGTTGGGTGACAACTGCGACATGTACCGTAATCAGAAAATTTGTTTTCCGGACAAACGGTAACGCAGCGGTTTTCATCTCTTACATGAACACATTCATCACAATGTTCAGCATCTGGACCAGAACAGGTCCGACATTCCGGATGACACTGTTTGCACGTTTTTGCATTAAATTGATAAGCACTAGAAGTACAAAAACAAAAGGTATTTCGGTTATCATTTAACTTTTATGAGTCTATGTGACATTTTACTTACTTGGTGATATTACGACAATCCGCAATACAAGTGCCGTTGTACTCAAAGTTTTTACATTCCAAACACTGATCGTTGCCAGAACCCCAACAACCTGATTGGTCACATTGATTCGAACACACCAAGCCTTCTTTTTCTACAAAATTAATTAGAATTTGAATGGTTAGTACGTATTAATAAATGTGAAATTTAAATTAATGTCACTTACTGCAATCCTCCTTATTACGATTTCTTTCCACCACAAAACCATGTTCACCCGATTTCTGCAGTTTTGTCCAATTGATTTCATTTACATAACATATTTTGTCGTTGTGTTGAATTACCACGGAACCAGCATTAATTCGTTTTAACGATTTCAATTCCAAACTTTGCAATGATGTTTTAACAATGGATAAGGATGCGAAGTAACTCTCCATCAATTGACGACCGTGTATTACCTCTAAATTACGGAAGTAGGAGAGATTTTTAAAATCTGGATGGGCTCCTTCGATATCCAAATAACCAGTAATTTCTTTAACAGTTGAGAATACTTCCAAGGCATCCGGATGCATTGAACTATACCGAGGTCCGAGAGAATAATTTTTATATATATCTTGGAATCCAGAGAAAGTCTGATCCAAAATCCGTAAAGAACCTTCGATGACAGTACAGCCTCTATAAGACTCTATATTACCAGCATGCAAGATTGCAAGGCCAGGACATGACTTGGGACAAGGGCCATTACATGGTATACATTCACCGTCTTTGGCCATCTTGAAGGCAGGACAACTTCTAACACAGGCTCCACTATCTTTCAACAAGTGCTCGGGACATTCTTTGACACAAGTGGCACCATAGGCATATTTACCCTCCGGATTGGACTCCCACAAATAATTCGTTGGATTATATTTCTGCATTGGTGGACATTCCTCCTTGCATACACCATCGTCATAGAAATTCTTACATGCTATACAATCCTTCTGCGTAGGTCCTGTGCATCCACCAGCACAAAAAAGATGACAGCATTCCCTAGGACGAGGACCGAAACATCTATCTTGAGCACATTGTGGTGAACAATTGATTTTGCTAAACTTTTGGCAGTTATTGGGACCTTCTCCCCAACAGCCCTTCTCACAAGACTCATGACACTTGGGACACTCCCTCTCCGGTAGAGTGAAGTTGTAGATGTAGTTGTAGTGATATTTGTCGGTGGGTCCAGACATTATTTCATTCCAGTCAATACTCTTTATATGACACAAATTAAAATTATTGAAAAACCCCACTGAACCCTGTAGGATATCTCGTAAAGCAGGCATTTCCAAAGAAAACATTTTCGAATATGTAACAAAAAATGCAAATTGTTCGTCTTGAACATTCAGATTAAACAATGTACGACCGCGAATAATTTGAAGTCTGCAACAAAAAAAAAAGTGTTAGAATTAAATAAAGCCAAATGCATCGAACTCAAAAACCAAGCACTAACCTTGGGAATACGACTTTACGTATGTCAACATGACTGATCAATATATAGCCGGTAACTTCTCGAATATTCTCCAGAAAACTCAAATCCGAATTGGGATCTTGTAACCACGTCAACTCCAAATTTCCATCGACATAAGTGCAATTATTGTAGCGATCACGTAAGTTTCGATAATGATGTTCTCGATTTGAGGGCACTGATAGACGAGATTTAGTACCAATACAAACTGCAAAAAAAAAAATAAAATTAATTTATAAAAACAAAGATATTTCTTTGGAATTTTATTATCTATTATAAAAAATCTAACAGAATATACGATGACCTTAAAAGGCAGTTCAAAAGGTATTTTTTTAAATCTATTTTTACAAATGCTCAAACTTTATTTGGTCAGAACTTCTGCTTTTTGATCAAATGCAAAAACAAAGAGAATAACAAAGTAAAAGAGAACATATTTTAGACAAAGACTTATGTATGGGTAAATGTGTTTTATTTCTTATATTTGAGATTCATTGTTTAGAGAACAAAAACGAACATTTTCTTAAAAGTTATAAGTTTCTCTAGAAGTGTTTTTATTTAAGACAAAATGACAACTTAAAAGTAATTTAAGAGAGTTTTCATTAATGTATTTAAGGTGCAGCTTATTCTTTGTAATTGTTATCTTTTTTTGCATTTTGACTGAAACGAGTGTACAATTTTCCATTTGAAGAGTCATTTCACTTCTATTGTTGTACATTCAGAACTAACCAGGAAAATAATTAAGATTTTATAATTAATTTTAATTTGAATAAGATAAATTCTTTCAATTACTTTATAAATTGTTTTCTTTATGCTTATTATTATTATTATAAAATACACACACACACACAGTTTAAATTATTGCACACGAATTGGCTGTTAGAGAGGTTTGTATGTATGTGTCTTAAGTCTTTTGTTTAAAAGCATCAATTCATTTTATTTTTATTCGTAAATTGTTGTTCTTTAGGTCGATTACATATTTAAGTGACCAAAATAAAGAAAGCTTTTTAAAACACCTACTAATTTGTTAATTAATTTATGAACTTATTTTAAAAGTGGGTGATTTGGTTTTTATATGACCGTTTCAAATTTCAACATTTTCGAAAATTTTATATATTTTCTTTTACTTGTTCGTACTAAATGGAGATCGATTAATTAAAAATGCACTTCGTTTTCGGGCTTTCAATATATTATTTATTACGAATGAAATCTAGTGGAAATAAAAAGAAACAATTCATCAGAAATGTAGGTTGTATCTCTGGCGGCCAATGGCTGCCTTGTTAAACTAATTATATACACTCGTAACATGCGTTAAGGCATAAAGAAAAAGTGGGCGTTGGGTTTGGATGTTGGAACCCAAACTAAAAGATGAGTTTTACTTATACACTCATGCATACATACATTTGATTTATTTTTAACCCTAAACTACATATAATTTTTGGATTTTCTATAACTCTAAGCATCTCATAGATGGAGTTTGTTCTGTTGGCCTTAAACTTTGTTTTCTAAAGTATGTAGTCATTTACAAAATATAAGAAAATTTCTTTAAATCAAAAGATTTAAAAATAAAACTAAATAAGTGGGTTTGCAACAGATGATAAAGAAATAAAAGCAAAACAGATAATAAAGGGAGAGTGAGAATAAGAGAATAACAACTAAAATGATGTTGGTGTAAACAATAATTAGCATCCTACACAAAAAATATTTTTGTTTTCATTATAATTTTCAATATAAAATTAAATAAAAAATTATATACATATTGGTGGATTTTTTAATATTTGTATTTATATACTTGTATTATTTAACAAATAACCACGCATTATTTCTTTATAATTTTAGTTAAAACATCGTTAGTCAGCATTGATAAAAATAAAAAATAGCTGTGGTAGTTTATATTTTAAATCCATTCATAATTATGGGTCATAAACAAATGCAGAGCTATGCAAATAAACATAAACATAAACGGAAATGGAAACGAAAACAAAAACAGAAACAGAAAGGTTAAGGGACAATAAAAATCTATACAGTTTTGTAACATAATTAAACCTTTAACCGACTAGACAAAAGTGGGTGTCATTTAGGAAATTGACAATGAAGTGTGCCATCTGCCAAATAAGATAATTAAACTGCTACCTACATATATAAATTAAAAAAATATATAATAAAACTCTTATTTAAATAATGACCATATTATGCATTTTTAACCAACCAATTGATTTATTCAATAAAATATTGTAAAATATCTCCGAAAATTTTAAAATAAATATGTCAAAAAACTACAATCATTTTATAGCTCAGTATTGTTCGCTTTTGTCCCTAAAAAAATAATTATTGTTCGAACAAAAATTTTGCCATTTTTGTTTTTCCTTAGAAAGAATTTTAAAAATGTTTGGTAATATTGTATTTTTGTTCTTGTCGCTGCAAACATTAAACAAAAGAAGCCGCGTTTAAGCAACACATACAAGGAGCAACCGATAAAAATATTTCTGTGACTTCAGAACATTAAAGTACAAGAACAGTAAAAAAAGAAGAAAAATAAATAAAAGGTTTCAGTTCTTACAGGATTCTATATAAGGCAAATAATTTTTATAATAATCATGAAAAGGCAAAAAAAAAGAGTCAAGTAAACGGCAACAACAAAAATAATAAAAGCAAAAAACAAACGACTTGGACACGATTTGAACATCAAGAGCTTTATATTTATTTTATTTTTGTTTGATATAAAAACAATCGCCATTTTTTACTCGTGACTTTTTGATTAATCTAACAAAAAAGTCTCTAGGTTTTTAACTCTAAGCATCTTTCCTAAGCAAAGCTGATGAAAAATGTTACTTTTAAGAAATGGCTTAAGGCCAGCAGCTAAAAAAATGTAAACGTTGAACAAAAACAAAGACTCATTAAAACAAAAGACTTAAGCAACAAACGTAAGACGCCATAATTTGCTTAAACTCTTTTCAAACCAGCAAACTCACCAAAAATGATTGATTGTTTAACAAGCAATCAAAGGGAAATCAAAAGATTTGTTTATAGCTTCTTTTTCTTCTTCTTCTTCTTCTTACAAAACTTTCTTCTAGAGCTTCGGCGCTTTTTCCCTTAGTAACACATACAAACATATGTATGTATATATGTATGTACATTCAAAGCATACATATGCACACAAATATACGAAAATATTTCTTTTAAGAATTTGTATGGTTTAAACCACAATTGAATGCTTTTAGGTTTGATTCGGTTCGGTTATGCTCTGTAAAGTAAAATGCATCCATCCCAAGTCCAACAGACAGCAGCAACAACAAGATATCAACGGACAAACAAATGTGTAAAAACAATCTGCTCTTCGTTCTATTAACTCTTAACAAATCTTCAATCATGTTGTATGTTGTACAACTACATACAAACATGCACACATACATACACACATACATATTTACAACTCTTCTCTTATTATTTTTGTTTTTATTTCTCGTTTCTTCAGTTCAAATATTCTTTTAAACATGTTTCTTCCACTCAAACTGTAAGATACTTGTACAACAAAAATAAACCAGCAACAACAACATACATGGAAGATATCTTGGTTATATGCCCTCTAGTAGCCTAGTCTTACCGGTTTTTAGTAGTTTTTTTTCTATATTTTTTGTTGTTTATATTTTTGTTTTCTTTTTTCTTATGTTCATTTTTATGTTGTAGTGTGAGTACTAGTGCTAATTTGGCGGGTTTTATAAAAATGCATTTAATTAGGCGAGTTTTTACAACCTAATAAACAAAGAACTTCATATGATTTTTTTTTTATAGAATTTAAATTGAATTCAATATCATTAAAATATGGCAAGAAATCTAAACTTAGGATCAAAATAAAGTTAAACTCATAAGTTCTAAGGACAGGAGTAAAATATTTGTAAAACTAATTGAAATATTTATGGTGTTGGCATCACTTACACTTTTGTTGTGTTTTGCTTTTGAAATTCGTGGAAATATCCAACGATGTACTACGACTACCACTACTACAAACTACTATGAGTATTTATTATTTACTTTGTTTTTATTTTTAGTGTTTAGACACCTGGATTGCTTGTTTTTATTGTTGTTAGTTTTATTACTTATTATAATTATTTATTACTGTTGTTGTTGTTTTCTACAGATACATTTGCTCTCTTTTTGATATGTACATGCATATGTATATTTAAGTTGCTTTTATAATTTTACTTATATGTAAGTAAGTATGTCTTAGAGTACTAGTCATACCGCATTCATAATGCAAAATTCACAAATACAAATTTATTTTATTTTTCACTTTATAAAACTAGAATTATCAAAATTACTAACTTCATATTAACAAATGTATTTATACATTTCTACAATATGTATCTAAAGTAAAATTCCAAGTTTTAAGGGGATCATTTTCTAATTTCAATTTAAGTTTTAGAAATTTAGTTGGTATAAAACTCAAATCTTTATATTTATATGGCTATAGATTTGCCAATTTCATTTAACATAATTTTGCTTTCTTTAGTTCAAACTAAAGTTCTATTTTGTAATATGGCGTTATTGTTGTTTAATTTTATTTTTTTATATGTTGTAATTGCAATATATACAATTAGCATGATTTTTTCCTTACTAAGTTAAAATACATTTTTATTAAAAGTTTGTTTGCATGGTTGTGAAAGCGAAAATCTTTGTTTATTTGTTTTTGTTTATACATAAGTTAAATGTAGGCGTCAATTGTTTTTTGTTGTTTTTTATGGGTACATGCCTATTATGAGCTTAACATTAAACCCAGAAATGAAAACCCACTTATATTTTTTCATACACATGTACTATGTATTTTCAATGTTTTACCTACTTTTTTATAAAAAATAAAATTTACGTAATAAAACTTTATAAAAACATTTGAAACTTTTAAAAAGGTTATTTCCAATATTAATTTTGATTAAAAGCCTAAAGTATTTTTATCTTAACATCGAAATTACAGTGTTTAGTAAAACCCTAAAAGCTCTCAATTTTATTATTTTTTAAGTTTAGTTTAGAAAACTGTTCATTAGGAGTTGGTCTGGTCTTTAAATTTACTTCTACAACAAACAACAATTATTTTTGAAAATGGTTTAACAAAAGTTTTATATTAAAGAATAAAATATATATGTATGTAAGTATGTATATGTAGATAGAAATGTATTTATATTTGGTATTTCTTCTGGTAAGTGGTAGTTGCAAGAA